AAAATTAGGGGAAAATTGGGGGAAAATAGGGGGAAATTGGGGGAAATTAGGAAAAAAAACAGAGAAAAACGGGGAAAATGGGGAAAATTAGGGGAAAATTGGGGGAAATTAGGAAAAAAAACCAGAGAAAAACGGGGAAAATGGGGAAAAGGGGGGGAAACGGAGAAAAACGGGGAAAATTGGGAAAAAACAGAGAAAAACGGGGAAAGACAGAGAAAATCAGGGGAAAATTGGGGGGAAAATGGGGTGGGAATGGGAAAAATGGAGAAAATAAGGAGAAAAACAGGGGAAATTAGGGGAAAATTGGGGGGAAACTGGTGAGAAATGGGGTGGGAATGGGAGAAACAGGGAAAACGGGGAAAATTGGGAGAGAAACGGGGGAAATTGGGGGAAAATGGAGAAAAAGGGGAGGGAAATGTGGGGAAATTGGGGGAAATGTGGTGGGAATGAGGAAAAAAGGGGTGGGAATGGGGGAAAATGGGGAAAACCAGGGAAAATGAGGGGAAAATTCAGAAAAATAGGGTGGGAATGGAGGAAAAATGGGGAAATGGGGGGAAAATGTGGTGAGAGAGGAAGAATCAGGGTGGGATTGGGGGAAAATTCAGAAAAACAGGGTGGGAATGGGGAAATGGGGGGGAAATGGGGGTGAGAGAGAAGAATCAGGGTGGGATTGGGGGAAAATTCAGAAAAACAGGGTGGGAAAAGAGGTGGGAATGGGGAAATGAGGGAAAAACGGGGTGAGAAAATGAGGAAATGGGGGAAAAGCGAGGGGGTGAAAGGAGGGGGAGGGGGGAAACGGGGGTCCCCAGCCCCCCCAAAGCCCCCTGCCCACCTTCTCCACGTAGTAGCCAGTGCCAACGTCCACCAGGACCGTCCTGACGTCCTGGAGCTTGCCTGGCACGTACATCTGGGGGGGTCATGGAAAACGGGGGGACACGGGGGGCACCCACCCCCCCGCGGGGGTCCGGGGGTCCCGGGAGCAGCAAAAGGATACGGAGCTGGTGAGGGGCACCAGGAGATCCTTCCCTGAGGAAAGAGGGGGTCAGGATACCCCAAAAAACACCCCAAAGCTCCTCCAGGGTCTGCTTGGGTTTGGGGATCCCCATCGGGGTTTGGGGTTTAGGAGCCAGCCCTGGTTTTGGGGGTCCCAATTGGGATTTGGGGTTTAGGGGTCACCCCTGGTTTGGGGGTCCCCATCAGGATTTGGGGTTTAGGAGCCAGCCCTGGTTTTGGGGGTCCCCATCGAGGTTTGGGGATCCTCCATCAGGATTTGGGGTTTAGGAGCCACCCCTGGGTTTTGGGGATCCCCATTAGGATCTGGGGTTCCCTCATTAGGATTTGGGGATCCCTACCGGGGTTTGGGGTTTAGGAACCACCCCTGGTTTTGGGGACCCTCATTAGGATTTGGGGATCCCCATCAGGATTTGGGGTTTAGGGTCACCCCTGGGTTTGGGGATCCCCATCAGGATTTGGGGCTCCCTCATTAGGATTTGGGGAACTCCCCCAGCTCCCTTGAGGTTTGGGGACCTCCTTTGAGTTTGGGGACCCCTCACTAAGATTTGGGGACCCCCCTCAGGTTTGAGGCACCCCCTCAGAATTTGCCCAAACCCCCCCCTCAGGATTTAGGGGTCCCATCAAGATTTGGGGACCCTCCCCACCTTTTAAACCCTCCCTCAGGTTTTGGGGGATCTCCCCCATAATTTAGGACCCCCCCATTAATACTCGGGGCCCCCTCCGGATTTTGGGGACCCCCCCATCCAAATTTGTGCTCCCAATTCACAGCATTTACCCCTCCCCATCACAATTTAGGGGCTCCCCACAGATTTCAAAGCCCCGGATCCAGATTTGAGGACCCCCCCTGGATTTCGGGGACCCCCCCCGTGAGGATCTGGGGGTTTTTTTGGGGGTCCCTCACCCTCGTTGCCCTTGTGCAGCACGTTCAGGCACTCCTTGGCCTCCACGAACTTGGTCTGCACCACCTTGAGCTGCGCCAGGGACGAGGACAGGAACTCCACCTCCTGCGGGGTGTGGGGGGCTTCGAGGCTTGGGGGGTCCCCAGGAGGTCCCCTCTCTCTTGGGGAGACCCCCGCGCTTGGGATTTGGGGGAGGGGGTCCAAAGGGGGCGACCCCCAGGGTTGGGAATGGCCCCAAAGGGAGGAGGAGGAGGAGGAAGAGACGCGCTTTTTTTGGGGGGGGGTCCCTGAAATTGGGGTGGGTGCCAAGGGCGGGGGGCGACTCTTGGGGAGACCCCCGCGCTTGGGATTTGGGGGAGGGGGTCCAAAGGGGGCGACCCCCAGGGTTGGGAATGGCCCCAAAGGGAGGAGGAGGAGGAGGAAGAGACGCGCTTTTTTTGGGGGGGGGTCCCTGAAATTGGGGTGGGTGCCAAGGGCGGGGGGCGACCCCCAGGGGTTTCCGCGACCCTCC